ACCCCAATGACCCCAATGACCCCATGGTGACCCCATGGTGACCCCAATGACCCCAGTGACCCCATGGTGACCCCATGGTGACCCCAATGACCCCAATGACCCCATGGTGACCCCAATGACCCCATGGTGACCCCAGTGACCCCAATGACCCCAGTGACCCCTGTTTGACCCCGGCTGACCCCATGGTGACCCCATGGTGACCCCAGTGACCCCATGGTGACCCCAGTGACCCCGGCTGACCCCATGGTGACCCCAGTGACCCCAGTGACCCCTGTTTGAGCCCGGCTGTTCCCGCCCCTCCCCCAGGTGCTGCTGGCCCTGCCCGCGGCTGTTCCGGGGCCCCTCCCCCCGCGGCTGCACGGAGAGCTGCGCCTGCGGGCGCCGGTGGGTGCGGGTTGGACTGGGTTATACTGGGTTATACTGGGTTATACTGGTTAGACTGGGAGGGACTGGTTAGACTGGTTAGACTGGTTAGACTGGTTTATACTGGTGGGGACGGGTTAGACTGGTTAGACTGGTTAGACTGGGAGGGACTGGTTAGACGGGTTAGACTGGTTAGACTGGTTTATACTGGTGGGGATGGGTTAGACTGGTGTGGACTGGTTGGACTGGTTAGACTGGTGTGGACTGGTTAGACTGGTTAGACTGGTTGGACTGGTTAGACTGGTTGGACTGGTTAGACTGGTTAGACTGGTTAGACTGGTTATACTGGGAGGGACTGGTTACACTGGTTAGACTGGTTAGACTGGTTAGACTGGTTAGACTGGGAGGGACTAGTTAGACTGGTTAGACTGGTTAGACTGGTTAGACTGGTTAGACTGGTTGGACTGGTTAGACTGGTTTATACTGGGAGGGACTGGTTAGACTGGTTAGACTGGTTGGACTGGTTTGTACTGGTGTGTACTGGGAGGGACTGGGAGGGAACTGGAAGCACCGGTGTGTACTGGTTTGTACTGGTTTGTACTGGTTTGTACTGGTTTGTACTGGTTTATACTGGGATGGACTGGGAGGGACTGGTGTGTACTGGGTTATACTGGTCTGTACTGGTCCGTACCGGTCTGTACTGGTCCATACTGGTCTGTACTGGTTTATACTGGTCTATACTGATCCATACTGGTCCGTACTGGTTTATACTGGTCCGTACTGGTCCATACTGGTTTATACTGGTCCATACTGGTTTATACTGGTCCATACCGGTCCATACTGGTCCATACTGGTCCGTACTGGTCCATACTGGTCCATACCGGTCCATACCGGTCCATACTGGTCCGTACTGGTCCGTACTGGTCCGTACTGGTTTATACTGGTCTGTTCTGGTCCATACTGGTCCATACTGGTCCGTACTGGTTTATACTGGTCTGTTCTGGTCCATACTGGTCCATACTGGTCCGTACTGGTTTATACTGGTCCATACTGGTCTGTACTGGTCCATACTGGTCTGTACTGGTTTATACTGGTCTGTTCTGGTCCATACTGGTCCATACTGGTCCGTACTGGTCTGTACTGGTCTGTTCTGGTCCATACTGGTCCGTACTGGTCCGTACTGGTCCGTACTGGTCTGTACTGGTTCCGCAGCCCCAGGACCTGGTGCTGGAATGGGAACCCCTGGAGGGGAACTGGGAACCCCCCGAGGAGACGGTGAGACCCCAAAACATCCCAAAATAACCCCAAAAAAACCCCAAAAATCCCTAAAATTCCCCCAAAATCCCCCCCC